CTTTAAAGGATAAACCAATATCAGACGGTCATTTGCACCACTCAGGTGACCCTGAGGACAGAGATAAACCTCCAAGTGGCCTCAATGATCCCTAAAAAGATGCAAATGACCAGCTGTCTGCAAGGAGTATAAATTCTTCCATTCCTCACCACCTAGTCAGACTTGAAGAAGCTTCTTGGATGAGAAGTTAAAAGTCTTCAAAGAAAACCAGAAAGTCCAGTTGCCTCTTGCAAAAGGACCTTTGGGACGATCTGGCTCCTTGAGCCTGACCTCCCTCTTGTCCAGTCTTTAAAGGATAAACCAATATCAGACGGTCATTTGCACCACTCAGGTGACCCTGAGGACACAGATAAACTTCCAAGTGGCCTCAACGACTCTCTCAAAGGATGCAAATGATGAGCTGTCTGCAAGGAATATAAATCCTTCCATTCCCCACCCTGTACTGGATGAGAGAAACTTCTTGGATGAGAAGTTAAAAGTCTTCAAAGAAAACCAGAAAGTCCAGTTGCCTCTTGCAAAAGGACCTTTGGGACGATCTGGCTCCTTGAGCCTGACCTCCCTCTTGTCCAGTCTTTAAAGGATAAACCAATATCAGACGGTCATTTGCACCACTCAGGTGACCCTGAGGACACAGATAAACTTCCAAGTGGCCTCAACGACTCTCTCAAAGGATGCAAATGATGAGCTGTCTGCAAGGAATATAAATCCTTCCATTCCCCACCCTGTACTGGATGAGAGAAACTTCTTGGATGAGAAGCAAAACATCTTCAAAAGAAAAAACAACAAGAAAATCCAGTTGCTTCCTGGAAAAAAAAAAACACCACCTTTGGGACAACCAGGACCTGGATGACTGAGAATCTCTACAGACTTTTAAAACATCTCTGGCGGTAGCTTGTAAGAATTACTGAACGCCTTTCCGTGGTGTTGGAAGAACCAGTTGCAGAAATGTCGGACAAATACAAGGTTTGGGATGCAGAGAAAACATCGAACTATCCATTCACTTCATTTGACATTCTCGGCTGTCTCCACATGCACACTCCCCGTCCCTAATTTTATTACAACGGCAAGAAAATTACATGAATGCAAGAGCACGGCTTGCTGTGAGCAGGATTTTGCCTGCTGCTTATTCGTTCACTTGAAGTCCTCCTAATCCTCTTTCTGTGATAGCACAATTGGTTGCCATGGAGCTTATTATTATATTGTCACTGAGAACCTCTGAGAGCGAGCAGAAACTTCGGCTGGAGCTCATTTCCTGCACTTTTTTCGGTGTGTGCATTTCATGCTTTAACCTTCTCCCTTTATTTTTGTTGTTATTATTATCATCTATTATTCGTCTCTTCCTTCCTAGTACCTATCTCTTTCCACTTATGACTATAACCATGTTGCTTGTATCTTTAAAAGTTATCTTGTTTTATTTGTTTCCTAGTATAATTAGATTGTTTGTCAGTAACCTATGACTCTAAGTGGTGTATCTTACGATTCTTGATGAACGTATTCTATTTTTCTTTATGTACACTGAGAACTTGTGCACCAAAGACAAATTCTTTGGGTGTCCAATCACACTTGGCCAATAAAGAATTCTATTCTATTCTATTCTATTCTATTCTATTCTATTCTATTCTATTCTATCCCCTTCCTCTTCCTCCTCCTCCTCTTCTACCTCCTCCTCCTCTTCTACCT